CCCCGCGCCCCGCCCCGCAGAGCCTGCGCCCGCTCCAGCCCGGCGCACAGGTGAGCCGGAGGCCTGGACCCGCGGCCTGCGAGCGCTCTGCGCCGAGGCGCGGGAGCTTTGGGGCTGAGCGTCCCGCGTGGCCTGGAGAAGTTGGGGTGGTGGGACGCCGTGTGTGCACGGGAGCCTTGCACGCAGGCGCGCCCCGGGACTTGCGGCTTTGGGGGTGGGGGCTCCCCTTCCCGCTGGGCTCCTCAGGCCGTCTGGTCCGGGGGGCTGGCTTTCTTCAGCCCTCCGTTGCTCAGCGGTTTCTCACATTTTTCCTTCTTTCTTTTGCGCCTCCCTCCTCTCTCTCGCTCTCCCTCTCTCTCTGTCTCTCCCCGATACCGGGAATCGAACTCACGACCTTGCGCTTGCCAGGCAGGCGCTGTGCCGCTGAGCTAAATCCCCAGCCCCTCTCTGTCCCTCTCTGTCTCTCCCTGTCCCTCTTTCGACAACGTCTCTCTGTGTAGCCCAGGCTGGCCTAGAACTCGCTGTGATCCTCCTGCCTCAGCCTCCCTAGGGCAGCACGCCAGGCTCCCGGGTTTCCCACTCTTACCCCTACCCCCAGGTTTTGGGGTGTCGCAGGCTCGAAAGAGAAGGGACGGACCTGAACGGGCCACTTTCCCATCGAGTGGGAGAAACCCGAAGTCCTCTCCGGCGGCGACCGTGCCCCACGCTGCCCGCCGCCCCTCTTCTCCGTCCACGTTCCGGGTCGGCGACAGCGCCGGCGGCAACTTTCCACGGCCCAGCGTGGGCCGGCCGCCGGTCCCTCCCGGCCGAGGAGGCGCGCCGAGGCCCCCGGGTGGGGTGGGCGGGGCACCCCTCCCTCTTCTTCCCCCTCCCCCTCCCGGAGGCCGCGCAGAGCCCAGGGAGGCACCATGCGGAGGGTGAGCGCGGGCCGGGGCGGGGCGCGGAGACCGCGGGGATCTGGCGGGCGCGGAGGGAGGGGCACGGCGCCCCCAAGTCCTCGGCTCGAGTCGCCCCGCCCCAGCCGCTCCGCGCCCCTCTCTTTCGCCGAGCCTCAACTTGGCGCGCGCCGAGCCACGGGGGTGCGGGGGGCCGAGGCGACCGGAGCCGGGTCGGAGGGAGGTGTGTCGGGGTGCGGCCCCCCGCGGCGCGGCCCGGGAGTCGGGTGACCCGCACGTGGCCGGGGAGGGGTGCTCGCGGCGGGCGCGGGGGCTGCGCCGCTCTCTGCAGCCGGGGCTCTCTGGGGAAACCGAAAGAAGAAATCTGGGAGGCGCGCGGCGCCTCCTTACCTGTGGGGCGGACACCCCGAAGGTGTGTGGCCGCTTCCCAGGTGCCAGCCCCGAGGGAAATGCGTTTTAGCTGGGGGTGAGGCTGCGCCCCTCGAGGGCAGGATCTGCGTCCGCGCTTACGGTGTGGGAGCGGCGTGCGCTGCGCAGGAAACCCTGCCGGGTGCTGCCCAGACTGAGAAGAAGCGGAGAACTAGGTTTCCAGCAGAGCCCGTGCGTTTTTCTGCGTCGCAGTTTGGATTTGGCTTGCGTAAGGTAAGGTGCACCTGCCTGCTGCTTGGTCACCTGGCAGGGATCTCTGTCTGTCTCTCTGCCTCTATCTCTCTCTCTGTCTCTCCCTGTGTCTCTGTCTCTGTCTCTCTGTGTGTGTCTCTTTCTCTCTTTCTCTCCCTCTCCGCTGGGAAGCTGCGTAGAGCCAGTGTGAATGGGTCCCAGGGCCTGGGGAAAGTCCATAGTGAGCTAGCGTGGAAATTTACCTGGTTCGCTTTGGAGCAGTCCAGACCTGCTCAGGTGTTTCTTGGGCGAAGAGGATTCCAGCGCGGCTGGTCAGCGAGTTCAGCAGGTCTGGTGTGGGCGGGGCACTGCCATGGAAACTGGCCTTGGTGGGGCTGTTTGAACTTCAAATTCGGGATCCGTGACCGGGGTGTTGGGAAGCTGCTGGGACGAGATCTGTGGGCACAGTGGGCAAGTCAGAGGGAGCATCAGCACTTGGAGATGAAGGGCTCCGACCAGAGCATCTTGGGGTAGGATGCTGGGCACGTGGCAGCTGAGAGCTTCCTTCTCTCCGAGGTTACATTTTCGTTGAGGCGTGAGATAAGCGGCTCACGAATATACAGATGCAAATTATCAGATATCCTCGCAGTGATGAGCGCTGGGAAGATGGGCTGATGGAAGGAGGGGGAGAGGCAGGCAGCCTTTCAGCCGGGGTGGCCGGGGAAGACTTCAGAGGAGCTGGCGTTGGAAGGACAGCGGTATGGGGAAGAGAGGTCAGCTGCCCTTAGGTCTGGGGAGCAGCGTTCTGGGGGCGCCTGGCAAAGGCTCTGCCGAGGAGCTGAATGAAGGTGCCTCAGGATGTAGAAAGAGAGGTCAGCTTGCTGATGTAAGAACTCGCTGATGTAAGTGGAAGGGAGAGATGGGAATCCTGTTATGCGAATCTAAAGTTGGCCACTGTTAGCGTGTGTGTGGGCAGCCATGCATGGGGGCGAGGAGGAGGCGGACACGGAAGAGACAGTAATGACAGAGGACATGGGCTGGACCGCAGCTGGAATGCCCCAGTGATCATGAACACAGCTAACTTTGGGTAAACATTAATTATGTCCCTGAGACTGCAGTACGCACCCTAACGGAGTCCTGTGGAATGGTAACTGGTATCCCCTCTTTCCGATGAGACAGCGAGCTCAGAAAGGTTGAGCATGCTGCTATAGGCCACTTGGCAGCGGGCAGCAGCCAGGATTTGTACCTGGATTAATCTGGCTCCAGAGTGCTGGCTCTGCTTCCTACAACCTTTTTGTTCCTAACACCATTGCTGGTTCTGGAGACACAGGTGATTTAGCAGTTCGGCAGTTGCTTGTGGCAGCCTTGCAATTGTGGCAGATTAGAATAACCGCAGAGAGAGCACCGGCAGCTATTAGAATGAAAAGTAATTACTTTCACTTGGTGCCCAGGAATTGTACAAAGTCAAAGCAGAGAAGATGCCCAGTGACTGGGTTTCTCTGAAGAGAGGTGCTATGTTCTGGATGCTTGTGCCCCACGCAAACTCAGGTGTTGAAATTCCAGCCGCCAAGTCGATAGTAGCAAGAGCTGGGGCCCTGGGGAGGCAATTCGGTCATGAGGGAAGAGCCCTCACACACAGGACCAGCTCAGGCCTCTTCCAGAAAAGAGGCCTCTGAGACCTGTCTTGCCCCTTTCCGACGTGGAGACACAGGGCAAAGGCACCTGTGAACCCCTAGGCAGGGCTGCACCTCGCCCTACCTCTGCCTGGGCCTTGACCTTGGACTTCCCAGTTTCTGGAGCTGTGAGAAAGGAATCTCTGTTGTTTATAAGCCACCCAGTCTAAGGTATTTTGTTGTAGCAACCAGCATGGACTAACAGGCGGATGGAGCGCGTTCCCCTGCCGCCAGTGCTTTGACGCTTACTTCACAAGCACTAGAAAGCTTGCGCAGGATGGATTTTCTTGTACCACTTCATGTTGCTCCTGATTTGCTCTTTATTTCTGAATTCAAAAGGAGCTCTTTCCTATGCAAAGCCAGGAGCTGAGAGCATTGTTTGCTGCAGAGATGTATTTGTGTTAGTAAGAGTTATGTGGTGGTTAAGCTTCCTGAGGCTGACTTGATTGGCTTGAGATCTACCTGGGGGATAGGAAGGCACACTTCTGGGTGTGTCTGGGTGGGCCATGGAGGTGCCACATTCAGTACTGTTTGTGGCCCTGGCCTGTTCCTTTCTGGCACTGTTTCTCTGTTCTGCTTCCCAGATATGGTGAACTGAGCTGCTTTAATCCACCATGCCCTTACACTGGATATTTGTGCCTTGGAGCTGGTCAGCCATGGACCAACCCCCTTAAATCATGAACCAGGTTAAACCTCTCCTCCTTTAAGTTGTGTGTTGAGGATTGTGTTCCAGCAATGGGAAAGGTGGCTAGTAAAGGTTAGTATCAGATATGGGAAAAGAACTAAAAGGGTAGCTACTGTTTATTGAATGCTTTCTTTGCACCAGACATCTATTGTTTCCCTTCATTTTTATAACCTTTTAAATTAAAAATTAATAAGTGAGAAATGATAGGAAAGTACTCAAGGGTAAAGGGCAACTGGGATGTGGGAAAAGAGAAGGGAAAGAAGGAAAATTTTGTATGTGTGCATATACAGGATAGTTAACATGGTTGATCTACTGTCTTCTATTTCTTTACTGAAAGAAACTGTCAATGAGTCCTTGATTGATGAATATTGTATGTCTCTATCTGTTTTCATGAGAAACCACTTTGAAGATATCAATATGTAATACAACAAGCACTGTTAATTTCCTACCACTTTGTTTGTAACTCTGTATGTCTGTACTGTTCTTTTGCTTTTTTGTAAAAGGTTGTCTGTCTGTTAA